ATTTTTACAGGAGATCAGGGATGTGGCCTCCTGTAGGCAGCCTCAGGCAGCCGAGTAAGTATAATATTGGGAAGAATTCACATTGAACCTGATAATAAGTTCATGAGAACGCTAATTAAAAGAAATCTCATGTTTCGAGTCCTGTCAGATTATATGCTTTCAGGTAGTGGTGCATTAATAGTCCACAACAGAAAAGTTATATTTTCCCCCAAGATGACAATATTCTTTGAATTCAGTATATGTAGCTTGTGAATAAGCAAGCAATGAGTGTGGAAATGAAATTCCTCTCTTGCTCGCCTCTCCTGCCACTGAACTTACTTACTCCCCAGCTCCTTTTTCCTGCTATTGTATACTACCAAAGAACATCACACATTTTTCACATTTTGTTCTGAAAGGGTTTTTGTTGTTCAGTTGTTCACTCATGTCTAGTCTTCATAACCCCATGGGGTTTTCATGGAATGGTTTGCCATTTCCTTCTCCAGTTCATTTTACAGATGAGGAAACTGAGGCAAACAGTTTTTTTTTAAGTGACTTGCCCAGTGTTACAGAACTAGTAAATGTCTGAGGCTGGATTTGAACCCAAGTCTTCCTGACTCCAGGCCCAGCTTTCTATCCACTGAGCCAACTAGCTGCCTCCAAAAGGGTACCTCTGTGTTACAGGCCACAGCAACCACAATGCCCACAAATCCTTGTTTGCTGATTTTTTCCTCCCATTAATCTCTTAACGAGCACAGGAAAAGAAAGAAAAGAAAGAGTCAGTGGAATACAGTGGAATAATTCCCTAACTCCTGGAATAAAGGACCTGGCTTGAATCCCATCTCTGGCCCTTACTACCAGAGTGGCCTTCGTTTCATTGTTTACAAAATGAGAGCATTGAATAAGATGGCCTCTGAGGTCCCTAGGTATAGGAATTAATCTTTTTTAGCCATTTTTGACCCTATATAAAAAAATAAATAAGTAAGACTCCTTTACCCCTCTCCCTCAAGACTTTTTCACCTTTGCCTGACCCTAGGTAGGACATCCACCCTTCCTACTTTCATTCCCCCAGAAATAATCATATTTTTAAAGGCTCTTAAAGTTAGAGATTCAGTTTCAACAACTATGACACCAGGGCAGCCCCCAGCATGAGGGATTAGGAAGGGAAATTTTTTTGGTGGGGGAAGGGCTATCTATATAAACAATTAGATTTAAAAATGCATTATAAAATTCATGAGCCCATGTGAGGCATACTGCTTTATCGATGAAGATTTAAAATGTGAGTAGAGAGGAGGTTTACTACCCATTTAGTGGAGGTGAATATTCTTTGTAGGACCCTGGTGGGGTGAGTGGGGTTTCAAGCTGGTGGGAGGGGTCACATGTCAATCTCATTTGGGTGGTAGATGGTATGATGGGCTGTGGCTTGGTCTCAGGCCTGCTTCAAGGGATAGATAAGGCTCCAGCTACAGGGTTGAGACTCCAGGGTGGGTGTCAACAGGTCTATAAGGCAGGTCTACAAGGGGTTCAGATATAGTTCAGGCGCCAACCACCTATCCACCACTTATCCCTTCCACCCTTAGGGAATCAGGAAGAGATGGACAATGTACAGCTGGAGAACTCCTCCTCCATGGTGGAAGTCAGTAAGGACCCTGGTGGAAGCTATGCTGTCATCATTCCTCAGGGTCCAAGCCAAAAACCCTACTAGTGGCTAGAATATCCAGGGTCTTATTCAATAGGCATGAGGATGCCAGGTTCTAAGCTAAGGTCAAGTGTACAACCAGTTCTAAAATTGAGAGTTCCTAGTGGTGTCTTTGTCTCAGGTAGGGCAAGTCTCTGAGTGACTGCTAGTCATTCACTAGGACTCTGAGAAGTTTTTACTGCTAGTCTCCAAAGAGCAAGGACCCACTGAGGGGAAGGAAAATTCTCACTGGATTTATTTTGTTTAATATAAGATTTGTTCAGAATCTGGTCAATCAGTCAGTCAATATTAAGCACTTATTATTTGCCAGGCACTGTGTTAAGTGCCAGGAATACAAATAAGAAAAGTGACAGCCCCTGCCCTCACTGAGCTTACAATCTAATGGAAGGAAATTGGGTTTGCAAGAGAATCTTTGTACTACTTTCTGCAATCTCCTCTCCGTGGTTTCATTCTCTGACAGGAAACTAGGACTCTACTCCCAGCTCCTTAGCTTTAATAAGTGAGCTTTTTGCCTCAGCTAGCCAACGGTGAGATCAATCATCTCACCATGAATTGCTGCACCAATACCCTTCCCTCTTCCCTCTGTTTCAGCACCTTTTTTGTATTGTCTTCCCCCACTAGAATGCAAGCTCCCTGAAAGCAAGGAACTTGTCTTGTTTGCTTTTATATGTATCCCTAGAGCTTAGCACAGTGCCTGGCACATAGTAAGCACTTAATAAACAATTTATCTATCTAATTAACTATACATATATATATATATATACACACACACACACATATAAATTCTTTGATGTTAGAGAAAATCTGTAATTACAATCTCACCAATGGAAACACTTTCCCATGGTGTTGATAGCAGCCCATACATGAATTCTCTTCCTGTTACAACTTTCATCCACGTCTTTGCATAAATCTCCACCATGTGTGGGCCTTCCTCCAGATCATTTGATGTTGCATGGATGCTAGTAGAACATAAGAACTATTCAAGCAGTCATCCCTCGTCCTCAGTACATCACTAGTCTTCCTTCTTTTCTGGTTATCCATCTCTCCGATGAGATCCTTTACTCCACATCTCTTGTGGAATCCTTGGTTAGTAACATGCTACTGCCTACTGACACCCACCCACGCACTTCAGGCGGTAAAAGGAAGATGGAGTCCCTACAGATGATGAGTTTCTCCTGATACTCCTTTATGAGAATGGCATTGTCCTAATGATATCAAGCTCCAGCACACTGGAGAGTCTGCCATGAGAAGTGTCTAATCTCTTAAAAGAGCATACTTAATGAACCCTGTGGGTGAAGAATGCCTATGATAAGCAGTTGAATGGCAATCTCTATAGTTCATCCATCAGTATGTGGATAGGCAGAATAAATGGACAATGAGCTTTAGCCAATCATGGGATAAGAAGAGGAAAGTAGGCAGCTTTGCCTTTGGAAATAACATTTTTTTTAATGATCTCAAGCTTTTCCCTGAAACCAAGACCCATCCTTTTAACACCAATATTCTTCTAATGATGTTGTATGGCTACAAGTAACAAAATACCGAAGTCTCTGAAAGAATTGAAGTTGAGGATCACACAAAGGGCCATGATGGGAGTGAGCATGCCACACACATGCTATACAAATGAGTATTGCACAGTAGTGTGAAGGACATCAGAAAACTGTTTGAAGGAAGGGAGAGGAGGCAAACATTTATTAAGCACCAACTATGTGTCAGGCACTAGCTAAGCACTTTACAAATATTATCTCATTTGATCCTTACAACAATGCTGGGAGGTAGATATTATTATTATCCTCATTTTGTAGTTGAATAACTGAGGCAGAGATTAAGTGATCATGCAGCTAATAAGTTTCTGAGGCCAGGCCAGGAAGAAAAAAAAGAAGCAGTAAGTCTATCATGTAGTAAGACAAAGAACAAAAAAAAAAGAGAGCCTTTTTGCTGTCCACATAGGTTATATACGTCCGCATGGGTTGTCTAAATATATAGACACTGCTCAAGGCTGAAATGAATAGCTACTTCTAGAATCTGGTCCACTCTTCTCTAAGAGAAACTGTAATTTCTGTCTTGAGGACAGGAGATGGGCTCTTGTTCCTTCTATCATCTATCTCTAAGCAGGCTATTGGGCTTAATTATATCTATCTCCCTTTTCAAATATTTCTGGTCTAGGAGTACAATAGGCTCAGAATGAAATCTATTTCCCTGGCTGTTTTTAAGTAGGAGGAGAGCCCTTAGTTTATGCTCTACAATTTACCCTCTTCCCACCAAATGCTGGTTATGCAAAAGACAATCAAAAGAGGAAATGGAAAATAAAATCATTTATCCAAGCAAACAGGAAATGGAAATTGGAGGAGTTCTGTAAATTAAAACCTGAAAGAAAATATCCAAGAGAGAGTATGGGGGAGCAAGATAAGATTTTATCTCAAGCCAAGAAAGAGGGTTCAACCTCACCCATGGGAAATTCACCAAAATCTGCGGATAGGCAACCTGGATATCCAGAACATGTTGAAGAACTGGTTTTTCCTACGTATCTGCAGATTCCAAAATCTATCTTTCCTTCCTAGAGTGTCCACTATGTGTCTCTCCTGACAAGTCTCTGGCACTGTACATGTCTCTTCCAGAAGCTCTAGCCACACCCGCATCTCTTAGCTTGTGAAACAAATAAAAATTTAAAAATAGTCTCAGTTCTGAGTTGCGTGCGCTCTCTCTCTCTCTCTCTCTCTCTCTCTCTCTCTCTCTCTCTCTCTCTCTGAGTGTGTGTGTGTGTCTCTCTCTCAATATATATATACATATATATGTATGTATGTGTGTGTGTGTGTGTATATATATATATGTATATATATAAAATTCTGCAGTGGTGAAGCAACAGAAAAAGGAGAAAAAAGTGCTAAGAATCATCCAGTTTTTTGACCATCTTTAAGCATTAATGTAGTTTTTGGTAGTCTAACTGGAAGATCCTTGTACAATGAGCGATTGGAAATACTACTGGAGGAGTCCAAGCCTCAGTCTTGATATTCTCGCTCTAAATCAGATTCGAAGATGAAGGAAAGACACATCTAAATGTAGAGATGGCTCGCAGGCCCCTCTCAGAAAAGCCAATAAAAGAGGTCATGGAGTTGATTTTATCATGTATCCAAAGGCAACAAGAAACATCATTTCATAGGACACTTGATCATTTTGTATTGCTATTGTCATGGTAAGTATCAGCAAAAATAATGCCACCCATAAAAATGATGGCTGCTTATAGAACCAACATCTGTTGCAGAGGATGACGAGGTAGAAAAATTACAAAAGTAACTCATTGAGATCTCCAAATTTAATCAACACCTACTTTGATGCTCAGTGACTTCACTACAGAAGTAGACATCGGGTTGCGTTGGCCAAAAATATGCTAGAAAATATGACCTGGAGCAAAGAACAAAAGAAGCCAGAGGTCATGTTATGGACTGCACAGAACCCTGATCCATATATAATGAACACTTCATGGAAGAAAAAAAGTTGTCAGGCATCAGATATGGCAAGCACCAAATAACGCCACACACACAAAAAATAAAATTGGTTATATTTTTAACAGACAGGAAATTACTTGTTACTGATGTGGGATTCCTGAATCAGCTTCCTGTGTACAGTCAGACCACCAACTTGTTAGAGCAGGGATCAAAATAATTCAAACTTGAAGAATAAAAATGAGAAAAGGCTATGGTATGCAATTACACCAACTCCATCCTGATATATTTAAATAAACTGTTGACACCTAAAAAATGGGAACGGACAAGGACACAGGCTATAACCATTTGCTTAAGAAGTTTAACCTCAAGAATGTTAATTAATTGACATAAGGAGAAGAACAAAAGAGACCCAGCCAGCAAACACAAGATCTCCTTGCCAAGAGGAAAGATATAGCAGCCAAGGGCAACAGTGGTTAAGAATATCAACTCATTTTTTAAAAGCTTTTTATGGGAAAAGGATGGTAGTAGATTATATGCAGTATTAAATATTCCTGATCAAGAATAAAGAAGCCAGGAGAGAAAGGGAGGGGAAAATAAGTTTAAATAAAGCTTGACAATAGACTCAACTAAACAAAGTCATCCAGAATGACTTTCCAGAATGAAAATGAAAGGAAGAGAGCAAACAAATAAAAAACGGAAAAGATCTGTAGAAATTTTTTTACCACTCATTTTACTATCAAGGACAGTAGACTCCAGTGAAATTAGGACTCTAATACAGTCCCAGGAGAGGAAGCATGGCATGAGGAATAGAGAGCTGGCCTCTAAGTCAGCAAGATCTGAGTTCAAGACTCACTTCTAACCCATACTGGCTCTGTGATCCTGGCCAAATCCCTCCACTTCCTAATGCCCCTCACAATGCTCTAACACTCTAAGTTACAGCAGGTGCCAGTCTTCCTTGGTAGAGGAAATTTCATCATTCATAAGTTCCATACGCCAGTGAAAGCATAGATTCAATCCCAAAATGACTCAATAGAAAAACACAGTCCTAGATGTGCTGCATGATACCCTGAAGAAAACAAATATATGAAAAGGTGGACTAGATCAAGTATATACAGAGTAGGTCTATGTTGGAGATGCCACTATTTGGAGAGCATTGAGGGATCAATTCTAAAGGTATCTGAAAGAGAAGATTCCAAAGGAATGGAACACATTACCAGTCAATAACTGTGAGAAGAATGATATAAAGGATGTTATCATATAAATACATGACCGGAAAATAGAATCACGGGATAATATTGGTAATCTTTGCATGCTCCATTGCCAACCATGCAAATGGCAGGGGAATGAAAAGATAGCCCCCAACAAATCAAATCAATAACAATGAAAATGTATGGGAGGACACAGAGTTTCACAGGATGGGCAGGCAAAAATGGGGTGCGATCAGCATCCCTGAAGGAGTATTCACATTGATGAGGTCACAGAGCCATTGGTGTATTGGAATAATAAATTGTACTAATAAGAAAACCCTCAGATACTTGACACTTACTAGCTGTGTGACTGTGGGCAAGTCACTTCACCCCATTGCCTTGCCAAAAAAAAAAAAAAAAGAAAGAAAGCCACATGTTAATGTTAAGACTTTCAGAAAAAGCTTTCAATAAAATTCTGTACTCACTTTTAATAAAAATAAAAAGCACAGGTCCTTTCCAAAATGCAATTAAATGCATATATCTAAAATGATGAGCTAGTATTCTTTGTAACAGGGAAACTCTGAAAGCTTTTCCTAATAAGATCAGGAGTGAAATAAGTTGTTTACTGTCACAAATATTATTTGGCATAATAAAAGTACTAGCTATACAAATAAGACAAGAAAAAGAAATTCAGGTAATAAGATCTGTTAAAGAAGGGGCAAAATTGTCACCATTTACAGATGATAAGATGTTTTACTTAGGAAACCCAAAAGGATAAACAAAAAATAATAATAATAATTGAAAGAATTAATTGCTTTAGCAAAGTAACAGAATACAAAAGAGATCCACAAAAATCATCAATATTTTATATTACTAACAAAAAACTATGAAAAAGATATTTAAATAGCATTCAAAAAAAACTAGAAAATGCATCAAATATGTTAGAACTAACATACCAAGACACACACAGAACTTACAGAAATACACCTACAAAATACTGTTTACAGAAATAAAATATGGCCTAAATAAATGAGGAAATATTCAATATTCATAGCTCTATCTTATAAATATAATAAAAATGATCATACTTTCCCAAATCATCTGCAGATGAAACATTATACTAGCCAAATTACCAAAAGGAAACACTATAGGCTTAGATAAAATAATAAACTTTATATGAAGGAACAAAAGGTCAAGAATATTTAGTGAAATAATGAAGGAAAAGTAGGAAATAAGGAGATTGACATTATACAAACTCAGACTATATTATAAAGCAGAAATTAATTTTAGAATTACCTGAAGGCTTACCGGTTGGGGTACAGAAAGACTGTTTTACTCTGGACCTGTTATTTCATTATTATATGGAACTCCAGGTGGGTAAATTCCCTCCACTAGTGCTGATCAATAAATTTGGCAATTTGTGTTCTTAGAAAGTTGTCTCCACCACAGAGAGATTAAGTGATTTACCCATAATCACAGCTAATACATCAGAGGCATACTTTAACCCAGGACTTCCTGACTCCAAGATTAGCCTCTTTCCACTATGTCTCAGAGCACTAAATCGGTCACTGAAAAAAAAAAATAGAAAAGTTGATAAGTAAAATAGAATAAATAAGAAAGAAATTCACAAATTTTATCTCCAAATTACATTGTCTCATAACACCTGAACCAAAGCAGAGGGGAGAACACTTTATTCAACAGTAACTACTAGGAAAACTGGATAACAGTTTGGCAGAAAGTAGGTGTAGACCAGCATAGCATATATCATAACCTTAATAAATTCCATACAGATGATAAACGAAAAAGGGGAAAAAATCACAACAAAAAAAAAAGAAAGGATAATGTAGAGTTATATGTCTCACCACCGTGGACAGGAGAGAAATCTGGCAAAGAATATTATAAAAGACAAAAGAGATTGTTTTGATTTTAACAATTAAAAACTATCACATAAATAAGATCAACTAGAATAAGAAGAAAATATACAAACTGAGGAAAATATTTGCATTAACTCTCTCTAATAAAAAAAAGTCTGTCATCCAAAATTTATGGGGCATTTCCAGTAGGTTAGTGAACAAATGGTATGACCAAACAAATCCCAAAAGAGAAAGTGCCAACAATAAATAGATAGCTTCTAAAAGTATTCAAAAGGGCTGCTGTCCAAAAAATCCAAATTAAAACAACTCCAAAGTATATCACCTCATGGCCATCAAATTGGCAAAGATAATACAAGATGGAGAAATTCATTGTTGGCAGGAATGTGGAAAAATAAGCACACTAATTTATTGCTGATGGAGCTGTGGATTAGCCCAACAATTATGGAGAACAATTCTGAATTATGGAAGAAAATTTACAAAATTGTTCATATCCTTTGTCTCAGTGATCCCATTGTTAGGTTTACATTGCCAAGGAAGTTATTAAAAACAAGAAAAGACCTGTCTGTGTGAAAATATTAATAGCAATATTACTTTAATTGCAAAAAATTAAACCGTATCCTCAGGGCTAGGGGAATAGTTGGTATTAAATAGTGGAAAGCGAATATAATAAAATATTACCATGCCAAATAGAATGATAAATATTAAAAATTCAAAAAAATGTGAGAAGACCTATATGAAACAATCAGGAATGAACAAGCCAGAATCAAAAGAACAATATATACAATGAATATAACTAGTGATAATAACTTTAAAAGCAACAAAACGTAAGAGCAAAAGCAATAGATAACGACATTGGTACTAATTCATCAAACACACTGGACCTGTCTCTTAACTAATAGAAAACTGCTAAAATGCAAGGTTATGTGTTTTATCAGTCATAATCACCCTTTTATATAGTTTTAGCAACTTTTGAGGAATTTTTCCTTATTAGAGATTCAATTCGGGGTACATAGGAGTTTTTTAATGAGGCACCAAAACAAAATTTATCAATTAAAAAAAGATTCTCATTTCTAGTAATCAGCCAGTCACAAGAATTTTACTGGAAGTTTCTTGGTCTCTTGAAAGCTAACACAACCTGACTGAGGCAAAGGCTGGCAGAAATCCTGGAGGAAAGAAGAAGCATAGGAAAGAGTACTCAAAAAATCTAAGGCGTCTCTAGGGCGCATTCAGTGCTTTGAATGGAATCACTGATGTTGACTACTCCAGCTGCCTTGTCTTCAGGAAAACTCTAAAATCCAAAGAGAAGAGGAAGTTTGGCCCATTTTCAGTTCAGTTGAGTTCCCAATATCTAAAGTCCCAAGCCAGACAGGCTCACAGTAGAGAGAAGAGAGCAAAACATTAGAAAGTCCAGAGATTAATGAAATTAAGGAGAAAATAACATCAGTAACATCAAAGAAACATAAAGGATGGATGGATGCCCATCAAGGATGTCCATATGGTCTTATAAAATCACTAGGATAAATGCCACAAATCTTTATTTCACTTTGTATGCACAATCCAATTTTCATAGCATCTGCACAGAAGTACCTTTCTGTCCATTTTGTAGAGTAGTAAACTGAAATATCGAATTGAATGAATTGTTGAAAAGTCATATACTAACTCAGTGGCATAATAAATTCTTGAAATCCCAGTCCCCAAAAAGAGTGTGGATATTTAAAAGAAAAGAAATGTGCTATTTTCTCCTTTTGTATTGAAAAAATTTAATAGAGATAGAAGGAAATAAAGCAATTTATAATTTTTAAACTTCTGTGAAAAAGTGTTGAGCTTAGAGTCAGGAAAACTTGGGTTTAAATACCATCACTGACAAGTAATAGCAGTGTGACCTAGGGAAGTCATTTAAGTATTCAGAGTTTGTTTTCTCATCTGCAAAATGGGACCAATAAAACCTGCATTTACCTCATAGGGTGATTATGAGATTCAAAAGAACTAACATATGCAAGATGATTTGCAAACTTTAAAATGCTGTATCTTCGTCAATTATCTTCACTCTCTTGAAGTTACACCCACAGGATCCCAGTAGCCAATTTTTTTGGGGGGGTGAGGCAATTGGGGTTAAGTGACTTGCCCAGGGTCACACAGCTGGTAAGTGTCAAGTGTCTGATCTGAGATGGGATTTGAACTCAGGTCCTCCTGTCTCCAGGGCCGGTGCTCTACCCATTGCATCCTAACTGCCCATAATCTTTTCTATATGAAAGGAGCAAGTCACAGTTGTTCCAAAATTGTCAGAATTTAAGACCTCTGAAAAATGAAATTTAGGGCCTCTAAGTTTGCAGACATCCATTTTATCTTCACTCAATTACCCATGCTGGTTGCCCTTACAAATTCTTGTGCTGCTCACCCTCACAGCCCCAGACAGACAAACAGTACTTTTACAGCTGGCAGTAGGCAACCATTTCATATATATTGAAATAGGGTCATAAGTGACTTCTTCAAAATATCAGCTGGTGGGCTGAATATTGATTTCTGATTAATTCCAGAACTTATTACTAAAGATATGTTTCGTGGGCACTACGAGACAGAAGCAACTATCATCATGAATTAGCATCGATTCATTAAGAACAAGTTACCCGAAACTAGAGGCATTGCTATTTTTGGCATGTTAATGGATTAGTACAAGGATAGCTATATAACTGGATTTTAGCAAAGCATTTGTAGTTTTATGGCAGGGGTATACTGGTAAATAATAATAAACTTAATAATGATGAGCCGCCATTTATATGGCAGGTAAGTGCTTTCTAATTATTATTTCATTGGATCTTCACAAGAGCCTTGGGTGCTATTATTATCTCCATTTTAAGATGAGAACACTGAGGCAAACTGAGGCTAAATGACTTGCCCAGGGTCACACAACTCGTAAGTATCTAAGCGAGATTTGGACGCTGGTCTTCTCCACTCCAGGTCCAGTGCTGTACGTACTGAACCACCCAACTGTTCCATTGTTTAACAACAAGCTTTCAGGGTGGGAATTGTATGCATGACACACTTTTACACTTCAATCTGAATTATTAACATTTCCCTCCTAGATTGATATTTGTTTTTCTGACTAGGGAAAAGAGGCCATTCTTTGCCACATTTCTTACCTAGCCTTAATCACTGAATGGGTGTTGTGTTAATCAAACTGAGACCTGGGAAAGACCTTAGCTTAAAAAGGCCATCTGGGGCCATCTCCAGTCATCCTGATCTATATCTTCCCACTGGACCTAGATGGCTCCAGAGGAGAAAGTGAGGCTGGTGACTTTGCACAGCCCTCCCTCACTTAAATCCGATTCACTTGCATATCATGGCATCACCTTCCTGATGCCATGGTCCTCTTGGAAATCAAAGGACAAACAACAACAACTTTCCTAAGTCTAGACTAAAGGTTCCTAAACTAATTTAGCCTACTTCTTCCTTTTCAAAAAAAAAAAATTACTCAGTGCCCCCCTGGAAATCTACTTTCTGTAACCCTTTAATGTTTTTTTTAAATTTGCATCATTTCAAATACATATATATATATGTATATATATATATGTATGTATATATAATTAAGCATCCTAAAGTTAATAATTTATTGTAAATTTGTGGATTTTTCCTGCATTGAAATTTTAATGACACAATATTGCGTCATGTAACCGTATAGCATTATATTGTAAAAAAAAAGTCATTACATGCACATATTCCTGCCAATGCATGCTGGACTTCCCAACAATTCATGACACACTCACCTGCCAACACTTGGTTGTTAAGACCGGTTGGCCTATTTGACCACTGATTGGTTATAACTTGCATTTTGTATGTTTATCTGGAAAATAATGTAATCACTGAGACTTTAATTCTATTACACAACAGATGAAACATGTATCAATGGTTTTTCAAGATTTTCTTACCTTCTCTTCTTTCCTTATGCTTCCACCCCCCCCTTATTTTTATTCAGTACTCCCTCAGTAGCACCCTAAGCTACTTCCACCCCCCTGGATTGTTCCAGAATCCACCAGGGGATGATATCACCCACTTTGGGAACCTCTGGTCCAGACAATCAACAAAACAATAAAGCAAGCCCTCATTTGTAGCATTTGCCAGGTTCCAAAGTATAAATGCCCAAACTGAAAATTTAACCATTGGCTCTCACAAGCCACTTTCAGCTGGCTACAGCACACTGCAGCCTCATGGACAATATGGAGAGATGTAGCCTGGATGATGGCATAGTTCTAGGAATTGAGAACTGGCTGACACCCAGAAAACTGTGATTAATGCCATTGTCACTCTTAAGGAAGGTCTCTAATTAAGCTTCACAGGTCTCTGTCATTGAGCCTGTCTTGTGCAACACCTTCATTGATAATATAGATTAAAAACATAGCTTGCTTATTAAATTTCATAGAATCATACTATCTCAGAGATGGAGAGTTCAGAGGTCACCTAATTCAGGGGTCATTTAATTCAGGTCACCTAATTCAATCTCTCCCCAAAAAAAGCAAGTGACCATCTGCCCTCTCCTTGAAGACTGCAGGAATCTAGAACTTTCTTTTAAGGCAGCCTATTCTACCTTCAGAGAGTCCTGTCAGGAAAATGTTTTTTAGAGCAAATAAAATATGCCTTTCTCCTTCTTCTACATGCTATTTCTCATTCTGTCTTCCAAAACCAGGCTGAACAAATTT